CAAAGTTTAGGGACATGCTTGGCAAGCTAAACATGATTGATATCCATGCTTAGCTTGAGGGGGAGTGTTGGATTGAAGTCTTTGTATGTATGAGTACTCGGCTGATAAGAGTTCTTATTAGCCTATACTTAAGTTTAGTTGTCTTGTACTGGGCCTATGTTAATGGGCCTAATCCTATTTAATGTTTTAAGTTGTCTAGGTGTCCCATCACTATCAGGGGCATTCCAGTAACTTCTTGTATCATTGTACTACATCATAATATAAATAATAGTACTGTCGACTGAGCAGTTCAGTTCGACATTCACTGCATTTCAGAGTTTCTCTTCTCTCCTTTACTACTTCGAGTACAGCTCCTAAGATTACATACAAAATTTTAATTCTCACAAACAAACAATATAAGTCAAATCTGAAGCAAAAGCAAACCAAAATTTAGTTCCAGTCCATTTGTTCTCCCTTGTATTTACATTTTAATCCAGTGCAAATGAAATCTGCACTGCAAACAAATGGAGTGTAAATGTCAGAATTTAGAATGGGTTAAAAAGGACTTGAAGATACCGCTCCATAACGCATGCCGATCATTTGAGAAAGCCCACAAGGCTCATATATGGAAGGAACCAAGACCATATCAGCTGCAGCATAGAGCATGTGAGACAGCTCCTCACTACATTACAAAGGCAACCAAAAACAGGAATCAGGCATTTGGTCATTGAATGATAGAAACAATTAAGGTTACTTCAAGAAAGAGAAGCAGCACTTGATGCTTTTTGACAAAGTATCCATTGGCTTTATTAAAACAGAATTTCACAAGGAGACAGAAGCGGGAGGCGTAATGCACCTTCCATCACCAAAAGCTAAGGATTGTCTCAAATATTTTAGATAAATAGTTAAAATAGTTTCACCATCATGTCTTACCTATATGTCAGAAGGATCCTTACACTGGTACCCTGGTTATGCTACAAAAGTGCAAAAAATAAACATTTAGTCATCTCATGTTGCTTGCATTTCCATCACAAAAGTCTCATATTAGTTTTTCTTCTTAATCCATTACCAAATTAGTAAGGCTCTCAAATTCTCTTTCAACTCGGCTATCTGAAGCTTTTCCCAGTATAACCATCTGCCCACCCTAAAATATAATCCAGAGGTTAGTCTGCCAAATGTACAATAATAACATAACAATGTGGGCATGTGTGGAGTCTGGTGTAATGAATGTATTCGGGCTTGGATGAATTTATTTTCTTTGATTGATGACAAGGATTCTATTAATACTAATAATAATAGAAGAAACAAAAAAAGGAAAAGAAATCACCATACAAAATTAACAAAAAAGTCAAAACAGACTACTATCTCATATTACACACGAAAACAACTATTTTTTTTTTCAGAATTTGCTTCCATTTTCTACTAATATGTAGCCAATCCATATCTTTGAATTCCTTCAAACCAAAAGCCGTTTTTTGAAAGTCCAACCTAAAGGCAATTGAAAACCAGTGAGCTAGCATCTTTTGCACATTTGATTATAGGGCTGCAAAGGGATTGGATTGAATCAGGAGGGTGGTATATGCAAATTTGATATGCTAAGAAAATAATTATATCTGAGATTCTGAATTCAATTTGAATAAAAAATACATGTTTCTCTCTTCAAATTTGATTAGATTTGAAATTTTTTGTCTCAAAAATATATGGATTGAAAATATATTTACAATATTACATTATATCATACACATATATTTTGTATTTGTATTTATATTATAGGATCAAATTGGGGTCCATCTGAATTTGGTCCAATAACTAAACCAATCCTATTTGTCAATTTGAATTCTGTCCATTTACTGTTATTGGATATCTGAATCTGGTTTAAACAAATAGGACTTGGAATGGATCAGATCGATATCCAATTCATTTTCAGCCCTATTTGATGAAGGGGTGCTTGGATGTTTTATTCAACAAGGCTTTGTTTATGACTGTGTAGTAGAATTGAGAATTTTATAATAGTATTGTGTAATCTGTGCACTTACAGGGCCAAATTTTCATTCAAGGAATATAAAAAACCTTAAAACACATAATTTCCATTTGTCTCTTCTGATCCTATTCCATATTCTTCACATTCATTTCTAGTTTTTCTTTCTATATAAGTCAGCACATTGCACACTTTGAGCTGTAAAAAGGAGGATTTGAATTCTTTCAAAATATTAAATGCCACTTTATCTATTATTTTTAATTGAAGCCAAAATAATGTTCATACTAATGAAAAAGAATTCCACCAATCATGAACTTGGGATCTGAACTCATTTGGTTGGTAAAATCCAGCCTTGTCTAGTGTCTGTGGGTTTGACAAATTTCATCTTTCATGTTTTGAACTTAGCAAGAGTCCGTCTCATCTCAGACTTAGTAAGATATTCATCATGGATAGCAAGGTTCTAACTCTATGATGTAAAAACATAGAAACCAGGTGATGTAGAGTTGCATGTTCTGATGCTAAATCCTTGCATGACCACCTTCTTTGTACCAATTGATGTAGGATAACTTCTCTGATTGATGTAGGATGAATATAACCCAAGGGTGAGCATAGGAAGGTACTAATTAGCTAGATTGCTAGAATAGGGTTTAGGATGATTTTAAGACTAAGTATAGAGATTTGGTTAGGTAAGGGTCTTGGGGCTTTACTGTGACCATTGTAGATTTGTCCCATAAGTGTGAAAAGTTTCATAATGGAGAAAATAGGTCTAGGATTGGAATTTTTCAATGATTTTTTATGTAGATTTAGCTTGGATAGATGTAGGGGAAGACCAAGTTTGGTAATGTTCAGAGTACATGTGTTCTATGAAGAAAACCCAAAAATTTTGAAGTTTGGGGTTTAGGTGGCTATTTGAGATGAAACTTAGTGTGATGAAAGGTGACGAAGATCAATGGTGGGCATCCAAATCATTGTTTAGAAACTGACCCAGAAATGGAACCACTTTTTTGTCTGGGTGGCAGGTCAGAAGTTCAACCTTTTGGGTGAAATTGGTCAAACCCATGATGCTATAAATAAAATATAAAATAGATAAAATTAAAGAAAATTTGCCGAAAAATTGGGCATGTCTCTAATATTATATATTCATCATATTAGACAAAAAAGTACAATAAATAGGTTTTTTATTATTAATGATGGAAATAACTAAAAATATGAAAAAAATAGTGAAAGAGAATTAATGTCTGAGACTGACCCGACCTTCTGACCGGTGAAACAGTTCAGAAGTTCAACCGACCAGGAATTGGGTTGTTGATCGAGTCAACAATTTTTTTTATTCCAAATAAGAGATTTGGGGTGAAATAGACCCAAAAATTTGGCAAGTGACGGGTGGACAGGTCCAATTGGTTGGTTTGATTCTATGTTGAAAATTAGTCCAAATACAAGAGCAACCCAAGATGATTTTGACATAGAAGGAAAAAGTGGAAAAATGAGAAAATTACGATTTTTATGTAAGTTGAAAAAAATTGTATTTCGATTAGTATAAGATCTTTAAGGATGTTAGCTGGATTCTTTTAATGAAGAGCTTCTGAGCTTTTGAGGCTAAATGGCTGATTGCAGAATTTGAGACAAAGATTGAGAAAGAAGAGAGAGAAAACCTAGAATCACTCAATGTCAGTGGGGACCTAGAAATCACTCTAGGGTTTATTGGAATCACTCACCATAAGAACAATGTGCAGAAAAACTATTCAAATATCATTAGAACATCACTCACTACGTTTTACTCAAAAAACATACAGGGGTGGTCAATCCTATTAGAACTAAGAAAAATACAAAGTACAGAATTGCCGCTATCTTAGAAAACTCCATAAATCCTAGCCTACTTAATCACTGAAACTTTAAAAGGAACTAAACCATAACTAAGAAAATTAAACCAATAGGCTGGACCCCATTGACAATATGTAAAATGACCAAAACACCCCATTGTCTAAAAATACCCAGAATTGCCGCTCTGCTTAACTGATGAATATTTAGAAATACCTTCAACACATTCTCAAAACCTAGGAAGTGCATCAATTTAAATCCCTAAACAATTCCAATGTTTACTCATGGAGAGATCAATTATTGTCCTCCCTATACATAGTTTCCAAGTCTAATGATATATAATATTCAAATCTGTTCAAAATTATTAGCAGTCGTTGATGTTATTGAACTAATGTCATCAATAAACAATAACCATGATAGATTACATAGTTAAAAGAAATTTAACTTATATCATATTAATTATCTCTCTTAACTTTCATCTTTTAAGTTGGTTATAGAGTATTAAATATTTAGAGAACAATAGCATCTTACAACCAAATTAAACCAATCTCTGCCACCAGAAATGTCACAAGAGAGAGAGAAGACTTACAAGTTCTTCAATATGCTTGATTGCGTGAGAAATCAGATGAAGACCCTTTTGAGCAACCAATCTTGTAATGCAGATAACTAGTGGTACTCTGTTTGTATCATTGGAAAGACAGGAACCAACTAAACTGCCATTTGGAGCCAAACCAAGTCCTCGTTGAACGTAATGCTTACATATCCTTTTCCCCTCAATATTTTCAGCTGCAAGAAATAATTTGGTATTATTGATAGAACAAACATGCTCCTTTCTTTACAGGTCACATTTCTGATACCATTGAGTTAAATGCATAACTTATATGTACAAATGAGACTTTGTTTTCTTAATTTTATGAGTTTCTTGCTACCAAAATCTATATAATACATATGTGGGAATTTCCAACCTTTACCCTATAGGCTCAGTTTGGAAAGAGTATAAATGCAAATATGTACAGTGCAAATACATACAAAATAATACAAAATATAAGGTTTTGCACTCTACATTTTTGTATTTGTACTCCTTCCAAACTGAGCCATGGGTGAATATGCTAATTTTCCATAGGATCTGCCTAACTCAATCAGTCAAATACCATACCACATGTAAGTTAATTTCCCTCAGATAAGGATGTAGAGATTGTCGAGAGAATGAGGGTATATGTAGAGAACAAACTTTAAGTATAAGGGTATTTTGGATCTATACCTTTACGAGGGTAATTTAGTAATTTATTCTTCTTCTTTGTCTTCCCTGCTTTTTCCTTTTCTTTCTTCTTTTTTCTGATATATGATATGATAACAATGCATCAGAACATAGGTAAATTGTCAAATCAAATGCTTCTTTTCTTTTTCTTCTTTTTCCTTGTTTCCTTGTCTTGCTAGGTCAGAAATGAAACTTCAACTGATACATCACACCATAAACCATTATTTATTTATTTTATACTTTTTGATGTTTTAGTTTTCTTTTTCTTGGTTAAAATGACCAAGACCCGTTTTTTCTGAGAGGCCTGAACTTCTATGAAGATATAAAGGTTTCTACTGTTCGGATATGTGGGAGCAGACTGTGATGTTCAGTTTTCCATTTCAGATATGAGCATACAGATCTGAACATACCAGACATACCAGATCTGTGTCTGGCTGGCATACCAGATCTATGGAGCAATCGAAGTTTGAATTTTGTGTTTTAGATCTCTGAATACCCGATACGAAGGCATACCAGACCTAGACAATAGTCCAGAAATCAGATCTGTACATGTCATTCCAGATTTGCATATACCAGATACTTTTTTTTCTTTTTCTGGACTGTTTATGAAGCAAAAACAAGGTTTATTCAAACAGAAAAAGGCTATGTTTGGTAAGAATATTATTAGAGATTGCAAGCAACATTATGATCCACTCAAATCAAGGATCCATTCATTTCTTGGCATGCTACATTTGGTAAGAATTGTTGGATAGTGTATGCCCTCAACCTCAAGATCCAATTGCTTAAATTTATAAAAGTTAGTTTAAAATGTGCTATCACTTGTGCTGTGGGCGTTGATGTGGATTTTGCGATATATCGATGAACTATTTTAGGATGATGTTAGGCTACTGGTTAAGCACCACTAGCATGAGACATTGCATTATCAGTATGTAGTCCTAAATTTTTTTCTCAACCAATGGTCAGTTTTGGATGGCTGACACGAGCAGATTGACACATATGTGGTATTGCCTTGCGAGGAGCAACATGTCTCTGTCACTAGGTATTGACTCAAAGTATATATGTGCGCATCTGTAGAGACAGATACTAAACAAGACCCCTCTCTAGATTATCCTTGGACTTTATGATTGGTAGGATGTCCAGTTGTTACAGAAAACCCTCAGACCAGATAATGTTACTAAATCTCATCCAGGACACAGGTGACCTTGATAGAGAGAACAAGAGCATTTGTTGAGCATAAACTTCAAGTGTAAGGGTATTTGGGCCCCTTACCTTTATGAGGATAATTTAATAATTTTGTAACTCATTTTCACATTATAAAACACCAGGCTCTCTCCAGTTGGCCATCCCATTTGCAGTCCTCCTGATCCATGTAAAAGAAGCATTGAGTTCCCTTGCTAGGCTTTCAATCTCCCTTAGGGAATGTCTATCCCCCCTTTCTTTCCTTTTCTTTCTTCTTTCTTTCTTCTTTGTTTTTAATCTATGACAGAAAATAAAGGATGTAGTGAACTAGCATTGAGATGGTTATTTTTTATCAAGTTGTGCAAATTAGTCATAGAAACGACCTGTCCATAGTAAGCAAATTGACATATAATATAGGTATTGACATTTGATTTTGAAGAAAAGACCCTACATTTCATATTTTTCAAAAATACGGAAAATGCATGAATAATTTGGGAAAATATATAATATACAAATAATATGAATTTTCAAAAAATATGGAAAATTTTATGTTTTTATATATTTTAAAATTTAAAAAATACATTTATATGTTGACATATAGGGGCATAGCTTAGTGCAATGATAAAATCTAGGTCTAATAAGTGAGTGAACAAGGGTTTGAGTTTAAGAGTTTCCACCTAATGCAAGAAAAAGCTTAACATTAGATTTGTCATCAATATGCCCTTCAAAAGAGTTAAGACCAACTTTGGGTAATGGCCTTTTATTTATATACATATGCATATATTTGATATATAATACATATTTGTAAAAAAATATCCAGATTTTTTCACTCTGATCTTACATGAGTGTTAGACAGTTTTGTATGCCCTTAGCTTCAATCAGTTTTGATGTACTTTTGATATTTAATGTAAATAAATAAAGTACATGTTTGATTCATGTTGTGTAGTATGCTTCTGTGTAAGACCCTAAAACTGGACACTTAATGAGACATGTGTTGGTTTTAAATGTTCACAGCCGTTGGAT